TGCAAGAGGCAAGGATTTCTTAGGGTGAGATCTTTTATTGGACTAACTATGTAGTTGGGATAAAGTTAGACAAGCTTTCCCTATGTAAAACAGGTCTGATGAATTGTAATTTGAAATATTGAATGTTTACTGCTGAAAAATAGAAGTAAACCTTAGAATCATAGAAAATTAGGATTGGAAGGGACCTCACCAACCCCCTGCCCAAAGCAGGACCACTCCCAACTAAATAACCCAGCCAAGACCTTGAGATGTGTTACACCCTTTATATCAACGCCAAATATTCAAAAAATGAATGAAGCCTTAACAAAAGAAGGAACATGTTTTAAATATGGAAATAATTTTAATTGGATTTTATTTGCTTTTTAGAATCTGAGTCTCTAGGTTATATTCCTGTCCCATTTGCAGTCTTCCTTCTACTACTGTGACAGCTTGATACTTAGGTGGATAATGAAAACTGAGATTATCATTAAAGTTAATTGGATGAGGGAGCACTCTGAAGTCCTAGTCCATGGGGTTAGAGATCACTGTGCCAGGCACTGAACCCCAAGAGTTGATGTTTCAAGATGATTAGGATCCGTTGACATCTCTGTAATACAACTGTAATATTTCAGTAGCATTTCTTAAACAAATTAATGATGTTCTTACTTTCTGTTGCACTGCAATTTCTGGGAGTGTTGTTATTGACAATAATGGGTGTCAAATCACGCCTTTTTTGTGAGGGATGTTTTCCTTAGTAATGTGTTGGACTTTTGCTCAGTTTTCTCTTCCTTTCCACTTTCCCAGGTGTTCTGAGTCACATCAGTTCACAGTTTTTATTGCCATTGTAGAACTAGTGACCAGGAAAGCAGAGGCACAAAATAGAGTTGCAAAGCGGAGGCAGGACTGTAATTTAAAAGGAAAACTTTTTTTAAAAAGTCATAAGATAGAAAGGGACCTGATTTAGCTCCCACTGGGTGCATCTACATAAGACACTTAACTGCACAGTAGCATACTTTACTGTAAAGTAAGTGTGTGTATCTACACATGCACAGGCTTACTATGCAGTAAACTTTACTAATCACTAGTAAATTTGGTACTTGCAAATGCAAGTAACAGATTTACTTTTGATAGTAACAGTGCAGTAGCGCTCATGTAGACAACTTGCCTGGAAGCAAATCTGCTCTTGGTCAGCCATCTATCAGGGGGCAGGAGATTTCTCCTTGGCCCCAGGGCCTACCTGCTGCTGGGCAGGCTCTGCCACTGGAGCCCTGTCGGGAACTATGTCCCCCTGCCCCGGGAGCACGGAGCTCCAAGTCCCCTGCTCCAAGATCACAATCGGGGAGTGGGGGCTGGGAGATGCTTATCTCCCAGCACCAGCTCCGCAGCTGTAGAGCTGAGCAGGGAGGAAGCTCCCCACCCTGTTCCTGACCCAACTCCATGCTCCCCCCCCCACCCCTTCCCAGCAGCTCTTTTTAAGTCCCCTGCCTCTGACTGGAGAGCCAGAGCCAGGAGCTCCCTGCTGCCAGGGCAGGGAGACATTGTCCTCACCCCAGCAGCAGGCAGCCCCTGGGAGCAGGGTGTAATGTCCAATCCTTGACCAGGAGACAGCTGTCTCTTGGACTGGTGCTCCCTGCCAGCCCCTGGGCTAGCACCCAGGGGGAGCCTGGCGCTCCCCCTGGTGGTGGCAGAGGCCCATTGCAGGGCCCCAGGAAACAGGAGCAGTTTGCTGCCATTAGCAGCAAATCTGTTCCTGCTTCCCTGCATGTGTAGATGCCTTCCTGGGAGCATTTACTCGTGAGTAGTTTACTCAAAACTAAACTGATCCTGGATCAAATGCATGTGTAGACGTGCCTACTGGGGCCAAGGCAGTGACTTTAGGGGAAGCAGGTTCCAGCTCATGAGTTATGTGATTACAAATGTGTTGTTCATGTTGATGTTCACATTAAATATTTAGACCCTGTAAAGATCCTTGCTGTCTCAAAACACAGGGCTGAATTCTCTGCTATCGTAAACTTTTGTAGCTTTATTCAATGCAAAAGGAGCCAGGGTGATTGATACTAGCTAAGCAGCCAGCTCAAGGTTTTCAGAAATACTAAATGCCATGCACTGTGCAGACTAACTGCCTGAAAAATATTTTTTGAAATCAAGTCTCTTGACTGCAAATTTACCAGAGAGATCCTTTTCCACATCCTTTTAGCATGTCTGGAACCCAGGGAAATCTAACCATTTATCCAGGTTGGAAGTAAATGAATGTCTAAGGCTATTCAAGTAGCTGTTTGAAATCCACATTCAGGCTGACATCTTGTGCTTCATATTTTAGTAAGATGCACTTTGAAAATGTCATGCTTAAATAACATGTCTGTGATAGAATGCTGAAACCCCTAATATCATGGTTGCTGGGCACCATGGAAACATTTGCCTCATTTTAATGAGGAATTGTGTGCATTCATTATAGGTTCTTAGCAAAAAATCATAAAAAGTAATCTCTTTGTATCATGGGAATATAAAATAAAGTATATGTCCACTTGTGAATGCTCCACTTATGATATAAAGCTAGTACATTCATAGTCACTTGAAATACGTTTTTAAACATGTATCTCTCTTGTTTTTATTTAGCATCCACTAAGCTTAGTGAACTGTTATCAAAAAGAGTCTTATACCTGCCATGTACTGGGCCTGTAGCAGTGTTGCCTGGCCTGATGTATGGCTCAGACCATAATCTGCAACCTCATCTTTGGTTTCCTAAAATTAATTATTTTTCAAATGCTATCAAACACAGTTCTCCAGCCTCTGCAAAGCTGTTTTCTGGTGTGTTTTCCTGCAGAATGATATATGGAAGGTGTGCATGCATTTCAGCAATAGGTGCAGTTTATACAATCTAAGCCATATCTGTGCTGAGTGATCACAAAGTAGTATTTCACCTTTAATATAACATTTCCTTTCCTGCATAACTGCTTCCCAACACTATTGTTTGACTCAGAGGGCTGGAATGAAGTCCCCTCTGAAGTGTAGACAATGAATTTCTTATTTAAATAATTTAATATTTAATAGCTAACCAATTAAATATCTATGTAAAACAGCCATTTTTAAAGTCTTAAGAACAAGGCAATATGCAACAGTAGCCAGAACAGTACTCAGCTGATTGCCTGTATCAGTGGAGGAAAACATTACATTTGGCCCTTAAAGAGAACATCTGAATTTAGAGCTTTGAAAAACAGCTTTCTCTAGGGGGTGGGGTTTTTGTTTGTTTTTTTTACTATTATGTGGAGCTTTTGTTCGCTTAGGATTGTTTACTCCAGCAAGCAACCCTGTGCTCTTTGTTTAACTGATTTTTTTTCCCATTTGGCCTGTCCTTCTCATTCACATGGATGGCATTCTTCTTTGCATTGTGGCATACAAGAAACTATTCTTTATTGACCTTGCTGTTGTCCTTAGTGATTAAAATAAGAAAAAATGGTGAATAGTATGGCTTGCATCTGTCATTAGCTTTTACTTAGAAGTTCTCTGAAGTCAAGAAACTCATAAAGAATTGCTTTCCACTTTATTTGCATCCCCAGTGAACAATCCTGATGTCTCCTTAGTTGGAGACAAATTCTGCCCTTGATACTCATGCACAATACCCCTGGCTGTCACAGAGTTGTGTGGGTATCGAAGGGTTGAATTTGTTTAATAGAAAAAGAGGCTGTACATTTTTTTTTAATTATTTGATTTCTCCGTTTGCCATACAGACCATGTGCTTACAGCAGAAGGCTAACTATTTGCTTTTCAGTTTCCATGTGTTTTGCAAGTTAAACATTTAATGTTGTTTTTTATGTGATTGCAGTGGGAAGCAAATTAGAAGACTTGGAAGAACCTACACCAAATCGTTCAGGAATTTCAATTTTAGCTCTTTCCTCAACACCACAAAACACACAGATCATGGATTGAATTCCTAATAGGTTTATTTGATCTAGAATTTCTCTAAGGGTTACAGTTAGTTTAGTATGTGAGATGACGTACATCAAAAATAGATTGCACAAAGACCTGGTTCTGCAGTAATTCATCGTTGCCTGGGTAAAATTCGACCCTGCTGTAAAGGAACACAACTCTATTAAAATCACTGGAATTAGGCCCGTTGATAAAGGGCTGAGCTTGGCCAAATGCTTCATGTCCAATCCTCAGGACTCAGGCAGAAGTTAATCTGATGGACAGAAAACTCCAACTGCAGTAAATGGTGATTATGCCCATACAAGGTCTAAGGCAGATAATAACTATGGGACAACTCTTCAGCTGGTATAAATTAGAATTGCACTGCTGCCTTCAGTGCTCTGATAGTTTATGCCAGCTTAAGATCTGCCCTTACAGAAACAGCATGTACTCACAGCCGTGCTTATAGAAAACAGCTGAAGTCCTTTGTGTCATCATCCATACAAAGCAACCGCAAAATGCCAGGAGGTCAAAATGATGGCATTGTGCACCCATTTTGCATGAGTATAAGTAATTAAGGAAGGTATAAGAAAATGGGAAACCAGGCCCTGAGTATGCGTATCTCAGTTTATCTCACTACGTAGGTCCCGTGGAGCACTGTCATAATTGAGCTTTTGAACAGAGATGAATGTCATAAAATTATTAGTGGGCCTGCTAAAGCTCTCTCTTAAGTCGAACAAAGTCTCGCTGACTTAAAGGAAAGCAAGATTAGGCCTGATAAAAATTGTAAATGGTTTGGTCTACACTACAAAGCTTTGCAGCATATGTCAACCAGGAGTGTAGAAAGATCACACCCACCACCAAATACAGCTATGTCAGCAAAGCCTCTGACATGGCCAGAGCCATGCAGATGTGCACCACTGGCATAGCTATAGCGGTGGCTGCTCTGTAATGGAGGCAAATCCGTAGTCCAAACTAGTATTGATACAATTTCACTCAATGGTGCAAGTACAGCAGGTGATCTACAGAATAACTGTCTCTTCCCTGTTAATAGGTTAGAGGGTATGTAAAGGTTAAGGTCAACTGTTGCACCAAAAGGCCACAAACCTTGTAAGTAAATAGTAAAGCTTTTATTTTTGTTAAGAACAGCATTTTGAAAATAAAACATTTGCCCATGCTTTACAACCTTTTTAATTTTGTATACTTATGTACAGTCATTATGGTACATGTTGATTGTCTTGAAAATCCTTTTAAAGATGTACTTAATACGATACCAGTCTGCAACAGTCAGCGGAAAAAAGGGTACGTTATAAAACACATTAATACATTTAATAAATATATATATATATTATCTATCAAAAATGAGCCTTCGCTCTCATCAGTTAATAAAAAGCACCTGCTTTGTAATCCTGTAAGCTGGTAGAATAGTCCAGTTGTTTTATAATAAAAGCTACAATGCTCCCCTTTACACAGCCTTTAGTTAAACCCAAGGCATCAAGCTCAAACAGCCAATCAAGATGCCTGCGCAATACTAAATACAGAAATAGCCAGTTCTATAATAGTTAGTGTACCTTGTGTGTATTTAGGGTTCCATCCTGCAAGATGCTCTACATCTGGGAGGTGCTGTGCACCCTTGACTCCCATTAATCAGGATTGGACCCTTAATGTATGGCTCTATAACAGGGGCTGGCAGCCTATGGCCTGTGGAGCCATTTGATTTGGCAGCAATAGCTCTCCCTGTGCTACTGCAGGGAAAAGCGATGGTGGGAGCTGGATCATAGTGTCCACCTGTCTACGTCTGACCCAAATTGGGTCAGTCTGGCCCACAGGTTCCCAACCTCTGCTCTATACTCTTCTCTTGCCATTGAACAAAGCCACTTATTATAGAAAGCTTTTTTTTATAACAAAGTTTTAAAACGTTTTAGGATTTCATTTTCCTATACAGATAATATGTGAGAAGGAAATAACCATTATTATTTTTAAAGGGACAACATAGTAGCTTTTTACACTATAAAAGCTCATTATACTGAAATCTGAAAGTCTTGTGCTTACAATTATTTAGTATTTTGATCACAGATGCTCTACATTCTAGGTAACTTTCAAAAAAGGCAAACATAAACAGTATGTTTACATTAATAAAAATATAAGTTAACACAAAGGTGCCTTTTTTTCTCAATCACACATTATTTGGGGCATATTACACCACAGACTACCAATTGACAAACATAAGTCATTTATTACTAGTTATGTGAAGCTGGAAAATACATCCCATCCTCTAACCTATTACTACACCTCCACCACCACAAATTGCAGGTCCAGTTCTGCAAATCCTCACTGATGTGAATTATACTCATTTACATGATTACCCTATAAAAGTAGTCATGTCAGTTAAGATTTACAGGATCTGGCCCTGGTTTTGCTTAGGGACTTCCCACTCCTATTGACTTTGTTAGGAGTAGACCTGGGACCTTAATTTGTCAATCTTTTCACATCTAGGAAACATAAAGTACATTAACATTTCTAGGATCTCTGTATCTTGTGAAGAATTTGCCCGAAGTCTATAAAATCTGTGTTGTACTTAATTCATAATTCTCAGTTGTAGCACTGATAAATCTGTTAAAAGAAACCTGTCCTACCATATATGCCATGGTCATCTTACACATTTTGATAATACACAATTATATATTTTAACCAGGTTTTTTAATGAAACTTTTGTTGGCAAGCCATTATTAGGAGTGTTTATATGGCTCCCAGTGATTCAGTCTCTGGTTTAATAATCAGGATCACTAATATCATTTTATTTGATCAAGACTTTGTTTTAACAGGTAACTGCATGGCTAAATTACTGGACAACATGCAATATCAACCCCAGTTTACTCAGCTGCAGTTACCTAAAAAAAGAAGGGGGGGGGGGAAACAATCTTTGTTGTTTAAATTCAAACAAGCACATGCTTCCTTTGGCTCCAGGGGGGAACATCTGACATGGAGCTAACATGCTCCTTTAATCATGCATGACAGAAAAATATAGCTTCTCAGAGAGAAGGCTTTTAGGAATAAACCCCTATAAGATGATCATGGCAAGAATGGTGACTGTGTGTGTGTGTGTGTGTGTGTGTATATATATATGTGTGTGTGTGTGCATGTATGCACATATATATATATATATATATACACACACACACACACACACACACACATGCACACAGATACTGGTATATTTACGTGCAGCACTAAGGTCCTGATCCTGCAGCCCTTGCACTTGTAGGTAGACGTACTGATGTCAATGGACCTACTCATTTGAATACAAGTCTACAGGATTATATTCTCTTATATTAGAACTGGAGGTACATGACAAACCAGGAAGACTTTTTTTTTAAAAAAATAAACAGCTTATCTTTTGCAGTATATAGCAAGGAGCTTTTTCCTGTAAAGCTATTCAGGTGTTCAGTTTCCTTTCTACATTTATACTTTTTATTTGAAAATATATATTTTATTACAGCATATGCAAAATTTCATCCTTATACACTTTCATATACCCTCCTGTAAAAACAGTTTGCTTTTATTATCTAGGAAAACTAAGAGTAACATTGGCCAAACAGTGAATTCAATGATGCTTACAATGTTTGATATGTATTATATGCTAAGTAATAAAGGAATGATTTGCTTAAAAGTAATGAAGGCCATGGCACGAAAAATGGGCAATGAGAACCTGGTTAGATAACCTCTAACCTTTTGACAGTGTCTGCCTTATGTAAGCTCCTCAAATAAAATAGTTAAAATAAAAACACCATGACCTCCTGCATGGAGATGCTGCTACCTACACACTGAAGTGCACTAAAAATTGCAGTCCGTGGGGCTACTCATGTGAGTAGGGATTGCAAGACCAGGCCCACCTCTAGAAACAGAAGGTCCAATCCCTGAAGCTACCAAGTACCTCCTGGAAGGAGAGCTGTATCCTTCAGCTGCTACTGAGGTGTTTTGCTCAACGTTTTAAGGATCAGCCCATAAGATCTCTGTCGTACAGGTGGTTTCCTTTACTCTTTCATCTCTTGGGACTCCTTGGCAAACCCAAGCCTTATTCCCTGCAGAAGCAGGTCTCTGCATTGTTTCATACAGTGGCCCCACATGTACATTTGTACAAAATTAAGAGTCTGAGAACATGTGGTTCTTTGCCTGTACTCTGGGGTGAGACTGCAACAACAGGGTATCTTGACCATCAATTTCCGATTCCACATGACTGAGAAGATCTAACTCTATCTTGGACCACTACCTTCCTTCTCTAGCATTCAGGGGCTTTACACAGTTGCACAAAACGTGCCACAGCCCTTCCATCTGTCCAGCACCAAATTTGATTCATGATCCTTTTAAAGAATAAAAGCATATCATTGTTGAGAGTGGTGGTCACTTTGTTGCCACAGACCAGCAATGCTCAACTCTACATGACATTCACAAGGACATTTACATCAGAAATGGATAACGGAGCAAACAAGAAAGTTTTTCATGAGACATTTGAAATGAAGAAAAAAAAAATCAACAAAGTAGAAAGAAAGCCTGTATGTTTTCACGCTGTAGTGGCAATCTCTTGTGGCAATATGGATTAAGTTTAGGAAAGAGAGGAGGGGGTTTTTTTGCAAGCAACTGGCAAGCAGTAAAAATCAGGCTTGCGTCGCACACTAGTTACAGAGAGACTATATCTTACATTTCTGAATGCAGTATCCCCTCTTCCATTTTAAAGTGTGCCTAGTTCTACTTCAAATTAGATTCAGCTTGAATTTTGCAGAGTTGTATTTTTATGATTAGCTTCAGTTCAATAGTGTTCACATTTACATAAAATCCTCTCTAGGATTTCAGCTCCTGGATCTTTTGTTGCTTTGTTCTGGCATTTTTGATTCCTCCCTCAGAAAAACACACTGCCAGGGAACAAAATCTGTAACAATGACTCTTATTCTCTAGAACCCATAGCTTTCACCAGAGGTGTCTTCCAGTGTAACTTGGCGGAGCAGTTGGTATCTGGAAATAAGGATAATAAACCCATAACTAAGAGCTCTAGATTTCAGAAATCAATGTTAACATGCTACATTTACAAGGATAGCAGTCACACCTTTATTTCTAGGCAAAACAGTACAGTGATGTTTATCTTGAATCTGGGCACTATATGCATCTCACCACAAGGAAAAGGTAAGACTGTCTATGTATTAGTCCTTTTACTTTATTGTCTATGGTAATAACCTTTAATTATTGTATGTATTTTTGGCCTGGAACAAGCTTTGTGCTCACCCTTCTCTAACTGTTCATCTTTAAGCTGCCTCTTCCCTGAGCTGCTTATTCTGGTATAAAGGAATATGGGGACAGATGAATCCAGAAACCCAAAAGGATGATATGCATTATGGCTGTTGTAAGTCATTCTGAAAGCAAAACACAAACTTCATTGTCATTCAAAGTTGATTTATTCCCCCACTGTATTATCAACGGAAGGAAAATACTGATATCTAATAACTCTGTTCCCTTTAAGAAATCAAGCCTCTACTGAAAGAAACAGAGACCTAGAGTCAGCTCACATCCTTTGTGTTTTAATGTTGAGTTATGGAATCAGCTCATGGTTTAAAACAATGAAAAGCCGACTTATGTGAGTGTAAACTGGCTCATGAGTAGCTTTAAGAAGCATGTAGGTATGCATGAAAATATGGAAATGAGATTTTTCCTTTCTTTTCCAATGGGAGAGATTTCTATGCAATTCCTCAAGCGCAAATTATAGACACAATGGGAGTGAAATTGGCTGTTTGGCATCAGATATCTAAGCCATTCTTGCACTGACCAGGATGCAGAATAATACTTTGCCTATCAAATACGAGCATGCCAAACTATTGTTTCAGAGAGGAAAATTAATGCACATTAATATTAAGATATTTATATATCCTCTGGTAGCACACCTCTATAGTGGTGTGCAGCATACTAAAATATATATGTTATACAAGGGAAGTGAAAATGTCTAACGTCCACACTATCTGGAACAGATTCTTATCAAGGGTATTTTCACCCACAGGCCAATATACTATGCCAGCCTGTTGTAGAACTTACACAGTATTGCAGAAGTCAGGATACCAAGTACATATCACTTGGGAATTAGATTAGCAGCTTTAAAGTAAATTTAATCCAAAGTGGCCATTGGACATAGAGCATCACCAGCAAACTTGGTTCACTCAAACTGAATGCCCAAGCAGAGAGATTCACTTTATCCTGTAATTATATAATTTTGGAGGGGAATGGAAGCATTGCATGCATACTTGCTGCTAGGGATAGCATTTATTTTTCTCCCCCCATGTGAGCAAGCAGTCTAAACTCAGTTGTTCATTCAATAAGCAGTGGTTGCATATTCCCCAGGGTGTACCCCAGACTTTTTAAATCATCACATTTTGATACTTACAGTCCCACCGTTCAGCACAACTGCCATCTCAGTTGGCTGATAAACATTGCTTCTAAAGGGAGCGCTCGGTCGGCTGCCCAGACTGCCATTGCGAAATCCTGCTGTTCTTAAAGCTGTGTTTAAAAGGAGAAAGATGATTCTGATGAAAAAAATTGCTACTACTTCTCCCATATACGAGGGTTTGTCTACAATTTTGTCTACTGTCTTTTTAAACAGTAGTGGTGCCCTCAGGTGGAATCCTAATCCCAGGGAAGTCAATCGGATGTTTGGCTTTGACTGTAACAGTCATAATTTAACCCCTAATCTTTATACTGCCTTTGTACAGTAGTTTTATTCTTACACTCTGGGTAGATCTTAGACTCTGTTTTAAGTAGAACTGGTAGGGCTTGGTATGGGGCAGAGTGAAAGTACTTGGGGCCAGACAGAACCGGCCTTAGGGGTGGGTGACTGGCCATGGCATCGTGGTCAGGGGGATGCCACACGCGCACATAGTGCCACCCCTTTTCCCAGGGAGCCCTTGTGGTCCCTCGAGTTGCTGCTGAGCCAGCCACACACCCCTGGAGGAGGATGGGGGATGGTGGAGTGGAGGTTACCCCCCTCCCTCGCTCCCCACTCCCATCTCCATTGGCTGCCAGCCTCCCGCCCTCAGGAGCCAGGTGGCTTCCTTTTACCCCTCTGCGGGAGCCAGGCAGCTGGCATCAATAATTAATCACCTTCCAGCAGTGGCTGGAAACAGCAGTGGCAATAAGAGTGTGCAGGAGGAGGAGAGGAGGTGGCGGCAGCAGAGGAGGACGTGGGGAGTATGTGTGTGGCAGCGCTCTGCCTGGTCCTGCTCACTGTAGCCAGCAGCTCTCTGTGTAATGGTGACACTTCCCAAGAGCTAGTGCCCTGGCCACCATGCCCAGGTAGTGTGTGGCAGCCACCTCGCCAGGAAGGGCTGCCACTGAGGAGGATGCGGGAGGATGAGGACAGGCTGGTGCAGAGGGCAGCAGCAGTGGTGACAGTGAGGTCAGCAGAGGTGGGGGAATAGTGGAGGATGAAGTGGGGTGTCTGGGGAGCCTGAGCCATGCTTTCCCGCTGTCTCCTGCCCGCTTGTGCACTCAGCACTGCCGCCCTGGGCCTCAAGTGCTTCTTGCTGGGCTCTGAGTTGAAGGGGGAGCTGTTCCACCTGGGCACCACTGCCAGCGCCTTTTACTTGGGGCTGCTGCTCTTCCCAGGGCAGGGGGGGCTGGGGGAGAAGGCACGGTGGGGGGACAGGGCGCCAAAATCCAAGTTTGTCTAAGGCATCGCTTTCCCTAAGGCTGGCTCTGCGGCCAGATTTTAAAGGAACTGTACACCTCACTATTAAGTCAACGAGTGTTAGGTGCATAAATACTATTAAAAATATGGGATGCTGATGCATTAGTACTGCCCATAAAGTAATCTCCAGTTTGGATGCTAAATGGTTAAGTAAAATGACATTGCATTTCTTTATTCTGTCACTATGAAAAAAGAGGTCCAAAATATGTTTTGAGCCAGCAAACATGCTCACAAAACCCTCTAAGCATGACGAGTCTGGCTAGCAAATATAAATTTTCCAGATGCTTTAAGTTCTTTTTTTTCTGTAGAGATATTAAGCAGATATTTGCTTTTGAATGGTATGATCATGAAAAAATATTGAGCCAAAAGATAACGTATTGTCCAACACGTTCTGAATGTTCACGCCAGAAGCATCTAAGGTCATCTTTATTATGGTAGTTATTAATTTTGCAATCTGTTTTTCTTTTACAATTTACATTTTAAATGGGAGATGAAGCTAAGGAATATGCGTCATTACCTCTGAACCAGTAAGGAAGCAGAGATTTGCATTTGCTCTGATTAGCTAAGAAGTAAATAATGGGCTTCACCATTGCAGCCAAGCAACAGGCAGTCATTTGTATGTACAATCTGAGTGGTTGCAATGGTTCCATCGCTCCGTATTGTTTATCTATGAAACATGCCTGTTTCAAGAACTCATGATCTAGATTTTCTCTCTAATATTTAATTCAAGTTACGGGTCAGCAGCCTTTAGGAGTTTTGCTATTGACATCACTGGGGCCAGGATTTCACCCAATGTGTAGAGCAAAACTTAAATTGATTATAAATCCTATAGCCACACGCTGCCCTCTGTTCACTGCTACTCCTGTCAAAGGGAGTTTTGCACAGAGAGACTATTGGTATTGAGCTTTCTTACCACATATTCTAACCCTGAAAACATCTGCTCACTTTCCACATGTGAGTAGGCTCACCGAGGTACCTTTACTTTTTAATTATACTTACCTCCCTTGTCAAGTGCTTTGAAATCAAGGGGTGGTGAATAGCATGATGAAGGAGGTCAGCATTATCATTATATCACCTACAGGTCAAAGTTTATAAATACACTTTTACATTCTTCCATCTCTTAATCAGTAGTATTCCCTGCTTATAATTTGGTTGCCTTGCCTGTTTTGCCACTAAGGATTATACCAGTATTTGAATCTCTCTCTCAGCACATAGTTAACAGATTTGTAATGCATTATGCCATTAAAAACTGGAGTATTTACATATATATTTTATTACCCATATAACTCATACATCTATTTTCAAATGAGTTTTAAAGGGATAATCTCAGACTGCATTTCATTCTCCTGTTTGCTAGCTACTGTTATTTATCTAAATTGCAAATTACTTCTAGCTGGGAATGAGAGAGTGTTGTTTGTGGTATGTTTGCCTTCAGAATTTCTCTAAGCAGTGTTACTATTTTCCTTACATGGCCTGTCAGTGTAGTTATCATGTTAAGGACATATTTTTTATAGATAGGAAAATTGTAGACAAAAAACAAACTTTATCAAGGAGACTTTAGCAAGCGTCAGCCCAAAGTCCACAAGCAACTCACTTGAGAAATGGGCAGTACTTTTATTTCACCATTCTGCTCAGTGAATAAACACTAAAATAACATGAATATCAGTTATGAACCAAAAATTCATTACATCTGGGTAAGCACCTTGGTAGTTGTAGAACTCTAGCTATAGAGTGAACCTGAGTTTCACTTAAGAGCTCAATCTTGGTTGCTTTACAGAGATTTTGATCTGCCCTGCTTTCCCAGGCCACAGGACAAAAAGCTTTATACATTTATTGTAATAAGTAACTAGTAATACCTGGGATAGCAAACAGGAAAATCTAGTCAGTTATGGGCTGCACATGCAGTGCTACATTTAAACCAACTCTTCAACCAACTACATGTAATAACGCAATCTAACTATTCCAGAAGTATGATGCACACTACAGAGCTAAGAAAATGCACAACCCAATGCAGACAACCACATCTTCCATTTAAAAGAATAAATCAAACGTGGGTAAGAACAATACATTCTTTAGAGAGTGGGGGTCACCTTGACTAGGCTAAAGCAACTCTGCTGAACTGAGATGAAAGGCATGATTCTGCTCTCACTGATATCTGCCTCAGTTGAGAATAACTCCACTGAAGTCCTGGCCGTTTCCTATCTAAAACTGGTCTGATGGGAAACACCAGATCCAAAATGCCAAATATCTTTTAACAAGCAAGAAATCTAAACACAGTGGGGAAGCTCCTGCTAGAAATGTTAGAAATACAGGGTCAACTGCTTATTGCCATTGCCGGAAACTGAGCCTGTGGGATACACCCTTGTGATCCTAACAGATCATCCCCGCTCAAAGCTTTTATAGAAGAATAACACCTCTAAGGTCCCTGCTAATATTCCCTGAGGGAAAACTGTTTCCTGACTTAACCATTGTCATAGCCAATGCAGCAATTTCCCTTCTTGTCTGGACTGGATCCATTGAGCTGCAGCAGATTACATCATGTTCAGAAAAACCCAGAGGTACCTTCAAGTGAAGAGGAGGTGCTTAGTGCCATCCCCAACGCCTGTTCTAAGGAGCTGCCAACCTGAAAAGCCAGCTCCCGTCTGAAACAGCGCAGTGCTCTTCCCCGCTAGAACGAATCGAGAACTGTTGCCAGCTTCCCCAGATACAAACATGTTTACAAGCTGCAGGACATCGACCGAACGAAACCTGCACCGAGGACTGCCATCAGGCAGTTTCTTGCCATATGCACTCACATAGCATCCGTGTATACTTTCTGCTGTCACTCTATGTAGCTTTCAGTTAGATTCTTTCTCTCGGGAAACCAGTTTTGGCTGGGTCTTTGCTTAAGGCCAATTTCACGGTGGTGTCAACCGTATACGTTACTCTTCAGGTCGCCTAACATCTTGCACAGTGTTCCTGTGTGCTATTGTATAGGTGCCGTGTGTCACTGCAGAAGGAGCTGTGGCAGGGAGAAGTGTACGTACTGGATATATACTGCGTGCAGACTGCAGAGGAGGCATTCTGTTGCTTTTCATTCCTTGTTTACATTTTTTATTCAAGGAGTAAAACCTTCAGAGCAGAGATTTTATCTTTATACTTGTTTGTGAAGTAACTTGAATGTTGTATTATTTATCTAATAGCAAAAAGAGCCTCGGGTCTTATTTTTAGGAAGAAAGAGAGTTACTAGTTATTTTGTCACCCAAGAATAATGAGCACTTAACCCTGAGCTTTCTATTCAAACATGTTTTTACCTCAATAGTGTTACCTCTTATTATAGCAGAAATGAGAAGGAATTCAGGCTGCATGAGCTAAGGACATACTGTGGTTAATCTTTACAATTTCCATTTAAATGACTTCAGTAGTAAATATTTTTTCTCCTTCAGAATTAAAATTTTCTAGGAATACTTGCTCTCTTTTTAAAAAAAATTTTTAGTTTTTAAATAAAAAAAATGAAAGGACAAAAGCAAAAATACAATGTGCAGAACCCCCCCCCCCCCAAATAATATTTAGAACCAGCTCTCTTAAACCAAACAAACTAAAATAGCAACTTGAGCAAACAGGTACATTTTCTTTTACTTCCTGCAGGGAAAAATCAAAATAGGTCTTTTGTACAGTAAAATCTTACCTGCATTATGTTCATCCATTGAAAAGGCTTTATTTTCCATGTAGCTTCGAGGAAGTTGCATATCTTCCTCAAAAGCAGTCTCCCGCATTCTTGGTTGTGAAGTATCAAAATAGTTGGGTGTGTTTTCTTGCTGTGATGGAAGAATGGTGCAGTGAACTTCTGGGATAGCGTGAAAAATAACAAACACCCAACCACTAGACACCAGTGCAATTGCAAGAGTGGGATCACTCCATTTGTCTTTTCTCTTCAGTTCAATATTACCAAACAGGTACATAGTCATCCAAGCTACCCAAATTAGAATTGAGAAAAAAACTGTTATAATGAGGCATACTCCATTTTTCTTCCACTTCTTAAATTTTCCACACAGAGTGAAGAGAGACAAGCCCATGGCTACCACCATCAAGAACATAACATAAATCAAAGCCATAACAAAATCCATTGGCTCATAACTGCAGGCCAATTTCTTGTCTCTCACAATTGTCAGTATCAGCCACTCCGTTGCAATAATGACTTGGACCAGCATCAGACAGATTGCCATGCCAGCCAGATGCCAGCCAGATGGACTTTTACCATGTCGAACTAGCCTACGTAGTCTCCAGGCTTGAGCTAGCAAGCATGAGAAGCACAAGGCAAAGATAACTCCCCACAGAAACCTTCGGATGGAACATAATGTTTCATCTTCTTGTATGATGAATGCAAACGTCAGCCCAAACAGTCCTAGAGTCCCAAAAAGAAAGAGGAAATGCATTCCCAGTGGGCTTTTCTTCTCTTTGTCCTTGATGAATGGCAACCTCACTAGTAAAATCAGCATCAGCAGCAGTGTTGTCAGCACTCCCGCTCCAGCAACGGCTTCCACTACTATTCCCCAGATAGCATCCAGGTCACACAGGTAAATGTACTGGGGGAGAAGATCCAGTCCACATCCTCTAGATGTACTCGAGTTTTCAGAAGAGCCATAGCTGATCACAAAGAGGAGGAGGAAAACGATGGCTGGGTGGGTTTTCATTTTTCTGTCTGAGACAATGAGATAAAGTGACAAAATAAGTGTTTAACTGCCTGCACATTAGAAAACATCAGCTACAACCCCTTTTAGGAAACCTGGCAATTGGCAGTGGAATTAGCATGCCACTGTAAACGGCCTAGTCCAGTTGCACGTGTTCTTGCATTTGAATTGATTTTCAGGTTTCACTCCTCCCCTCCCCACATTGTATCCAAAATATCAGATGATTCCCTTTTTGCTTCTACAACAAACTGAAGACATTTCCAAACACAACATCTGGAAATAGGCTAAAATACAGCCTTCGCAATCCTGAAAATATTTACACTAGCGTGAAACCGGGAAGTACCTTCTGTTTATTTAATAGTCAAATGAAATTGAAATAATTGGAGTAAAATGTTTGTTAGTTGCAGGGACTTTGGAACCCAGGGCCTAATTAGTGTATAAAGAAATATCAGAATCAGGCCACTTATCTTATGTTCGTGTAAAGCATGCAGGTTATTTCTAATTCACCTTTAACAAAGATCTGGGCACCCATGTTTACACCGGAGTAAGAAAAGCAGCAGACATTTGAGGTGTGGTCCTCCTCAAGTGTGTAATTTGCTAGACCCCACTGTAGCAGTACACCAGGGTAGAAGTGTACCAGTGTGAGTTACACCAGCAGAGGAGTTGTATGAAAACAACTGGCTCAATGATAACCTGCTCCTCTGCCCCCTAGTTTTTTTGCTCTATTTTTACTGTTTATAGGCACAAACAAAACTCCAAAACTACTGTCTTCCCTCTCCTCCCCCCAAAAAAACTTTTGATCCAGGTAGAATGACACAATCCTCAGTTCAACGTGCATCTCCTCCCACAAATAGTCTCTCCTTCCCTTTCCTCCCCAAACTCAGGTCTTCCATTGCATTTATTAAGGGTAAGGCTTAGCTGCAAAATGTGTGTGTACAATAAAAACAGTACACATGCAGCACCATTAATCAGCAAAACAAAAAAAGAACGACTCATTGTTCTTAGTAAATAGAAAGCCATCCAAAAGAAGACAAACAACAAAAAATGGAACATCATTGTCTTTACTTTCCTGCAGCAAACAACTTTAAAGTCTTTTGGAAGATACCATACCATACACGAAGCACCTTCAGAATGAAAAAGTTCTGGCCAGATTCCATTTTAATTATATTCTGCCTTTCTGAATTTTCCATACAGTTTTAGTTGTTCTCTACTTTCATATGTTAAACAAAACTGGGCACAAACCCAGTTGCTGAAAATCCTTTGCAAGTCACCTTTAAAGCAGCCTTTCCACCCCAGTATTGGCTACAGTTCAGCGGACAGGACGGGTAAAGTAATCCCAAACAGGACACAAGTTTTGCTGCTTTCAGGGGAACAGCTCTGATGAGCACGTTGTTTAGAATGAGACCCACAGTTTACAAGACCATTAGGATGAAAGCCCTGTGTAATGGAAACTGTAACATTCCTCATGCACCAATGTATCTTTATGTGATATATCCAACATGTACACCAAGAAAAAAGCTATCAACAAAGAGAATTCTTTTGGAAGCCAGGCTTATGGCCGAAAACTGACACCTGTATAGATCTTACAGATGATTTAATAACAATTATAGACATGTTTTGGGACAGATCAAGCAATTTTCAAAAGAAATGTCTGTACCCTTCCACTGAGCAGTTGGCAAAATATCCATTTTAGATCTCTTCGAAGATCCAGGTTTTGGAATAATAATGTTTTCTGTTGGAGGTACCAGAAGAGTAAATGTGAGAATAGAAAAGCATGATTATTTTTCTAGTCTTTAACTGTATTAGACAACAAATATGATAAGAATTAATATCAAAGAGTCACAAAAGTAATATGGTCTGTAAGTTGAACAAACAGAAAGCAAAATGTACAACTGTCTTTCCAGTTACTGACATTATGATTCATTCCTATTGTTCCATGAAGTGCTCCATAGCTGCTATTATCTCACATATGCGATTGATCTGGGTAATGAGGTACTGCAATACAACTAGCGATTATTTTTCTAACAAACTATAGTGTCATTTGGTAGAAAGAGTTTGCTATATATGATTGATTTCTAAATGATTCCTTTGCCACAGTCCTTACTGTGGTGAGTGGTAAAAGCCTTAAGAAGCATATGGTTCCCAACGAATTGAGTTTACTTTTAAATGAACAGTTGTTCTGTTGAATTCATCCATTGGTCAATGAATACAGACTGAATTGGAAGAAAACACATTCTGAGTGCCAACCTGCAGTCCTACGCATATGAGCATTATGTAGAATGCAATCTCATTGACTTGAATGGGTTTATTCACATGAGAAAATACTTCTCACATGTGTAAGTTTTGCTAGATGAGGCATCTGGTTGGTTTTTCCCTAATATCCACTGGGTCTAGGCAGAGAAGGCTATGAAACTCATTCAGCAGGGAATGAAATGCAGAGAAGAAAATCTTGACTGGGCCCATGAGACTATTTCATGCTAATAGTCCATTTGTGCCCCGCTGCTCTTGAGAACTGGGGTCAGCCTCACACCAGGCTTCTGTGACTTGACCATTCTGGAAGCTAAGCGGTTGTCCTCTTAAAAAACATAGGTCTTGGGAAGCTGGAGTATGCCCTTAATGTTTCATAGGCTACTCTATTGCCAAGTAGCACTGAATCACAGTTTAAGGTAGTAAATATTTGCATATTCAGTTATGCCAGAAAGTGGAGGAAATGCATTTCAGGGATACGCCTTGATATTACAAAAGGAAAGCAAAGAAACATTTAGCTACATATTTAAATTTGAGACGCGTAAGCAGAAATGAAGGGCTACCAATCAGGTTTTGAGAACAATCAGGGCACCAAAGGAAAAAGTCCAAGAAGTAATGGGTCACGTGGGAAATTATTCAAGACACCTTCTACACTGAGGTCTCCTGGGTTGGAAATAAGCCAATGAACAGCCCTTTAAAGGAAGGTCCCTTTAAATTTTCATTATCCCATCATTCCAGATTAGGTTATAAATACACTAAATTAGTTTTCAGTGCTAGCTCTGTTGATTATTTGCTGTTGAAAGATTCAAGGGCAATAAATTAAGTACAAGTATCTCTAACTCTTAAGATATTTTCCAGTTTTCTAGTTACTTTATTCATGTCATGTAACCCTTATGTGATTGAACTATTCTAGGACAGTCTGTTTCCATGGAGATGGTGCTGCATGGGTAAGCAGTCATATTGTCAGCCCATCATTTATTTCCTGCTCCTATTTAGATATTGGTGTGGGGAGTAGGTACTAAGCTCTGGCTATCCCCCATATGGGAAGAGTCAGATTTCTTTGGAGTGGGGCATCTGCAGCAAATAAAATCCCAGAGCATGCCAGAGACATCCAACCGTAATGGGAGTTTGCTCAAGTTGCTTCCATATGTGAAATGACATTTGAGAGTTGATACATTCTAGTTTGGGACCGCTAGTGGAGTTTCTTAGTGTGAATTCTTGTTACTGTCAAACTAGGCTGGCGTAAGATACTGGACAATGCTAGATTTTGGTGGAGAAATCTACCGCTTGAGAACCTTTGCTACTGGCAGCAATAGTATCAGCAGCCAATTTTATTGTGATCGTTTAGATCAGTGTTGATCAGGGAAACATGATCCAGTGGTAAAAAAAAACCCCAAACCCAAACAAACAATAATACCCTATCTGCTACGAGTGTCCTCACTCTCGCTGCTGTTCAGGATGCTGCACTGGTAATAATGCAATGTTGGGGAAATGTCACAAAAAACAACCAGTCAAGAGAGGTGTCAGCCAGGGGTGCTAAATTATCTCCAGTGAAGTTGAGTGGGGCAGTTATAACAGAAAGAAGCCTACTCGAGTATTATTGACAACAGACTCTTCCCCAAATTAAGGCTGACCCAGCATATCTGTGATGCAGCAGGGATCCTGGGTCAGTAAAAAGGAATCTGCGCACTGTGCAAGTGACTAGAAATATACTTCCTGAAGAGCTGGCAACTAAGGCAAACAGACAGAACGGCCTGAATACTGGGAGAGAGAGATCCAAATTCTGCTCTCAGTTACATGAGCAAAAAGCCAGAGTAAGTAAGTGCAGATGTATCTGACTTATCTGATGAAGGGGATAGTGTCTGAATCCCTCCAGTGAATCCAGAGCACAACTAACCCTGCACAGAAGGGCTAAAAACAGTTATACAAAAGTTATCACATTTTATTTAAGAATCTCAGGCAGGCTGACCTTTCATAGCTAACGCAGCTGTGCCAGATCCTTAGCTGATTTAAATCTGCACAGCTCTACTGGCCACAACTGATGATGTGGACCAGGGGTGGGCAACGTTTTTGGGGGAAACACCCACAACCTCAACTTGTAAGATACTGGTGTGCCAGGAGTGGATGGCAGGGGCATTATGAGGAGTCGATCCTTGTTGTGGCAGCGCAGCCCGGACCCCTCGCCTGCCGTCCACCCTGAGGCATGCGTTCCCTGCCCCACCACGGAGCCTAGGCTGCAAGCAGCTGCACCGGGGGCCACGGAGCCTGGGCCTGGCTTGGCGGCAGTGGCAGGTGCGCATGCGCCTCTAGGCTGAAAGCAAGGAAGGGACTGGGGCTGCGTTGCACCAGCAAGGATTGGACCCCTCGTGGCTCCCCCACTATCTGCCCTGACGCACGTGTGCCAAGCAAAATGCCTTTGCATGCCACACTCCGGCACACATGCCAGGGGTTGCCTATCCCTGAGCTGGACAATACAACCTCATATAAGAGACACTGCAGCCTACTGCACTTTTTCTAAATATAGAAATTGCTTACTAACTAACTTTGAAGCCTGAATCAACACAATCTGCTTCACTAAATGGTTACATCCTTTACTACTATTAAACTGTTTAGATCTGTGTAAAATCAACGTGTCATACTCCCGCAGATACTGCCGTATGAAACATCTAACCACCTGATCACGAACAGAGAGAAAACAGCCTTACAATTTAAATAAAAGCATCCGTGATGCAAATAGCAATCCCGGTCTGTTGTACGCCAGTAGAAGACTCTTTTGCTGTTCAAGTTTCAGAAGAAAATGCCATCAGCCTGAAGTGTCATGAGTTAGAAATTAATCACAACATAGGACGTGTGCCAGGTCCTTTTCCATCTGATCTGAGGAATGAGCTTCAGAACCGATAAAAGAGCAGCAACCGCCAAGCCGCAATCAGGCTGCTGAAGAGACGGATTTCCAGAATAATAATTAATAATGGGATTGCGCTTTGTATGCAAAAACCCCCGCTGTGATTTAGACTTGCTCTGCGTAACAACACACACTGTTTTTTTTTTACAGCTCAGCACCTCCGCTGCTGTAGAAATCATGACCCCATTCAAAAAAGGACAGGTAGAAAAACCACGGCTGTAATTTAAAAATAACAGGGAGCGCGGAGTATAATTTGAAACAATCCTTCTACTAATGGAGGTATTTTGAATTTCTTTCTGTTATCTTCTGCACATCAGTCATGGGTGTCTAGACACCGGCACTTGGAAACTCTAAGAAGCATTATTTGATTTAAAA